CTGGCAAGGACTTTTACTTAAAAACCGCTGTAAGACGACTGAATTATAGTAAGCAGAGTGTAATGTAGCACATGCACAAGACACACAAAAAGAAAACAAAAATCAAATGAGTTTTTTTCCCCTCAATTACTTACAATTATCTCAGTCATTAGGATCAAGATGAAGATCGTTTCTTGTCAGTGCCCTTGTACAAATCAGTGTTGACTACTAAGGTATACACTCATTCATCACCCGACCTCCACACGCTTACTGATAACTGCATCATATTCACCATCACACTGCTCCCTGCATTAATTGCATTAGAGTTGCATAATGATAGTGGAGGGCATCTGCGTCTTTGGTGCTATGAAATAAATGTAGTGAGGAGAAAGTAAGCGTGTGTATGTATTGAAGATGCCACCTAAAAATTGCGTTTTCTCAGAGCTCTGTCCATGTAAATGGGGCTGATGGTCAACAGAGAGTCTGCAGTCAGCTCCCTCACCACAGGAGGATGGAGGCACCAATGATTTCCATGGAGACAGGGACAGAGCGAGAGAGAGAGGGGAGAGAATGGGGGGTGTGGGGGTAGAGAGATAGAGGGAGGTGTGTGTATGTTGAGGGGAGGGGGGGATGATAAATGAGTCTACACCATGCTGTCATTTGTACTTTGGCATCCAGTCCAAAGCACAATTTAGTGTAAAATATTACGCCAGCCCCTTCAGATGACAAAGTTTAATGCTGATGTATGAACAGACAGAGACTATCCCCAGCTGCTATTGAACAGAAGGAGGTAGCCATTCTTCTCAAAGGGCAATTAATTAGCGCACACACGACCACTGCAGGCGATGGACACTGAAAAAGGGGCAACCATACTCTGCTCTTGTATGTGTAACAACAACGAGTCCATGTACTAATCAGGATTGGAAGAAAAAACAGACGAGAAGGCGGGAACCCGAAGAGTTCTGGGGCTCTAGAAGAAACCTTTTTGACACGATGCATCACATAATGAGAGATTAACTGTGTTTTTTGAAAAACTGTTTTACTTTGTTTTCACAGTACATCAACTTTCTAGAGAATACAGTCCCTGGCATGTAAAGCCTTTTTATCGATTTTGCACATTTTTCCTCTTCCTTTTAGAATTTTTACAGCTTAACTTTTGTTTTTATTTAGATAAATGAGAGAACAAGATTCTCTTACTTTTTCTGTGATGCCTCAGTCATTTGCGGGTCATTTGCTAATTATTTGTGAGTGAGAGATTCTGAGAGTAATTTTTTCAAAGCTTCTTTAATCAATATTTTTACAGTACATTAACAGTGATAAAAATTAACTTCTTTAATGTGAAAGGTGTTGCTCATCCACATGGAATTATTATTTGACTATTCAGTTTCCCTCAGCTATATGGAGTTTATTAGTGTCAAAAAATCACTGTTTTGGTTTTACATCTGCTTTCCAGGTTTGGTTCACTCAGGCTATGTCCACACTACTACGTTTTAGTTTTACAATCTATTTTGCCATGTTTACGCCTGGCACCCACGCTACTTTTACACAACTTTTGGAGACGCTGCTGGAACTGTTTTGGTTTTAGTTTGAAAACTCCGTTTTAGTCTGGATGGGCAGAAATGCAGGCTTTTGGAAACAATGACATAGATAGACACTCATGGTCCCTCTCTGAGTCTTATTAGCCTCAACTGTGGTGAATGCAATGTGGGCCACGTCCATACCAGTACGTTTTCATCTAAAATGTCTGTCCGTCCAGAGTCTCACACCTGAAAACACATACATGAGCATATACATACAAACACATACACTGGGCATGTGTGAGCCTGTGTAAACAGGAAGCAGATTGTCTACTCTGCAGGTAATTTGTTGCAAAAGATATTATGTATGTACTTCATTATCATATTGCTTTCATCACCTGAAGTGGAGGCAGATAAGACCCAACCCAAACCGAATGTTCTGTTCTTATGAGACAAATTATCTTCCCTATATAACCACAAGACCTAACCAGTTTCTAAAATAATTACTGGTGCAGAGTGCAGGGGCTATGCACTCACTCCTATCAGCCACATGCACAAGGCACACGTCAGCCAGTGTGAACAGGAAGCAGATTTTCAGCTGCAGTGTTAAAATGCAGAATTTAACTGCACAACAGATGCTAGCAAAGACAGCATGGTCAGCAACGCTTGTACTTCATTATCCTATTGCTTTCACCACTTGGAGGCAGATAAGACCCAATCAGGGAGCGACTGTGGGTGTCTGCATCATCTTTTCCAAAGGTCTCCGTTTTCACTTGTCCGGACTACAACGCAACCCCAGAGTTTTCAATCTAAAATGGGGCCAGCAGCGTTTCCAAAAGTCTCCCTGGTTGAGTGCTCGAAAACATCGGAGTAGTGTGGACGGGATGTAAAAATGTAGCATAAGAAATGCGTTTTAAAATGAAAATGTAGTAGTATGGACGTAGCAATGGATAACAAATTACAAGCGTTACTGATCTTGATTATTTTTGCTAGTAGTAGCTGTCACCAGAACGCAAATACCCAGTGAACTTTTTCAGGTGTGATGGTGTGGATGGAGATAAGTTCTGATATGGAACTAAAAGCTCATCTGGAACAATAGTGTGGATGTAGCCTTACTCTTGCTCTCGTAAACATCATTTCCAGACACATCAGACAACTATTTTCAGTAAAAGCAGTAGAATCTGCCCTACAACCAATAGCAGACACCGCTAGCTAATACACTGGAGTATAGCTACTAAAGAGCCAGATATTTGGTGGAAAGCAACACAGAGCTAAAAGGAGTTCAAATACTGAACTTCATCACGTGGTCAGAAACACAACACCCATTGAATGCTATTGATTCTCCACATCTACAAAGCTACTTTAGGCTAATATATTCACCCCATCAATTTTATTACTGACTACACTGACAGTATGTCACTGTTATTTTGTTTCCAGTTTGTTCTGTCTCACTGTGACGGCTTGTTCAGTCGAAGAGTTGGACTGACTGGTATGAAATGAATCTGGGTTGGTCCATGGACAACACAGGAAGAACAACAAAACAAATTCAGTTTACCACTTCAAACAGAAGAAGCTTTCATGTACCCAAATGGGCATCGGAATGTTCTGTTCTTACAAGACAAATTATCTTCCTTATATAACCACCAGACCTAAACAGGTTCTAGAATAATTACTGGTGCAGAGTGTAGGTGCTATGTACTAACTCCTGTCAGCCACTTGCACTCTGATCATGCTTTTTTAATTGCAGCGATAGCATGACAGATGCTTTTAACTGCCAAGAGGAAGCCAAATTTATGTCTGGATTATGGAATTCACTGCAGCTGTGCAGTTTCAGCTGTCACCCACCGTTCTGTAAAGGACAAGAAGGTGCTAACTGCTCCAGTTGTAAATGTTCGTTATCATCACAGCTTCAGAAAATGAAAATGGTGTTCAGTCTGAAAGATGTGGGATTTTGCATTGTTTTAGCCCACTATCTATCTATCTATCTATCTTGGTCTAAAGCTTGCTCAACGACACTTCAAACATTTGTGAGGATGTGGGGCCTTTAACCTGTTTTTACTGATTTAGGGGATATGATCTGGTTGACCACACTATCTGTTGAGCTTGTTTTACGGTAAAGGAGCTGAAATGAGCCACTCACAGATTTTAGAAACAGGATATGTCCCTTCAACCTATTGTGTACCAACACGTATGCATCCCATGTATGTGGAGCTGTACATCTCATCTCCCGCTATTATTTTTCTGTTCAAACCTGTGTTTTATTTCCAAACATATCTTGTTCTAGAATTTCTTTGGGTGTGTTCATCAGCGCCCATCTCCACTGTTAAGGTGTGTTAAGGTGTGTTAAGGTATGTTAAGGTATGTTAAGGTATGTTAAGGTATGTTAAGGTATGTTAAGGTGTGTTAAGGTGTATATATATTTAGGCAAGGAGATGCAACAAGCCAGGCAGAGGTTCACACAGTCATTCTGTCCTGCTGAGAGCTTCTTCGGGTGAGTCTCTAACACATGTCTTGTAATGTGCTCCAACATATTCTTGTAATTTAGTTTGCTATTACATAAAGTGACATTTTGTGAATCTGGAAAATATTCCAACTAAAAATTCTGATTTGTTAAATATAAAAAACGGGGGAAAAATGTTATATTTGTTTTTCTCAGTACATACTGTTCATTTTTATTTCATACACTATTTAAGAACATATTTTGATAATGCAAAAATTAGTCATTTCTTTCTCTTTTATTTTACAGTTTGAAGTTCCACTTTTATCTGCAGTCATGATCACATTGGTAATGTGCGACCTTTTGTATCATATTTCCAGTTTTTCAACATAAATGCATTTTTTTTTACATTTTCTATTCATTAGGTAATTTCTGTATATGTAGCCTACAGTTTGTCAACCTTTTAAATTTCTGTTTTCTATTACAGTTAACTGTTGCCCTTGTTGCGGGATTGGTTTTTGGTAGGTTCATATCAATAAATGCAATACCATGATCATTTGCACAATACTAATGACACTGCAATCTCTCAGCACTGTTCACCATCACAAAACATAACATCTGTCTGATTACCTTTACCAGAGAGCAACCAGCAGGACTCTGAATCACCAGCTCTTTCACAAATGAGTAAGTGCCTTCACTGTATTTTGATAAAAATTGATAGTGTGATCAAATTCACACCCAGTGTGCAGTATAATATGTGTGTGGAAACACCTTTGAAACTATGGTTTGCAGCAGAGCAATGCTCTGACTGTTGTGAAAACTGAATGAATGTCAATATTGAATCAGGTGCTGCAGCACTTGAACTGCTGTGTTTTTTTTGAAGCTGCAAGTTTTTCTTTTTCTTGAAAGGTGTTACCAAAGTAAGAATTTTCATTTGTCCAGTTAGAGATTTCCTTCAGTTGCAATCCTGACATTTACAGCACAAACTAAACCACTCAGCAGTTCACTTTGTATAGGTCTGATTTGTTAATTTGTTTTTCTGTTTGTCTGTTTTTGACTCAATTCAGGTTGCCCCTGCGACTATCCCACCAACATTCGTAAGAAGATTACACCTTTTGTTTTTACATTTTCATTGCATCTGTCTTAGTATCTTTTTTTTGTAAATTTTACTCATCTAGATGAAATTGCAATATGTGCAATTACAGAAAGGTTTCTAATGTCATGTTGTTACAATTTATCTCAATTTACATACCGTGGTCCAGGATGCTGGACAGACTGGTTTGACAGAGATGACCCAAGTGGAAATGGAGACTTCGAAACCCTCGGCCGACTTCGCAGTGAGAACCCAGGAAAGATCTGCGCTAACCCAATAGATATTGAGGCCAGAACTCTATCCGGGCTCAGTGTGAGTGCAGCAGGGGATGTGATTCATAAGTAAGTACTCTATGGATACAGTTAAATGTGTTTTATGTAGGGATTCATATTTTATTCTACTGAAAGTGTTATTATTATATTACAGTATTATTGTCACTGTATGTGTTTGTGGACCTGGTGAGACCAAATACAATATTTCCAATGTTTCCACTTTTCATGTTTTATTCTTTGCCATTGATCAGTCATGTACCTGGTAAACATTGAGCATCAGACACACCCAGCAAGACTATTTATTCATCTGAACAATTGTTAGGTGGTACAATACACAGATGTTAATTGGACATAATTCTCTTCTATTTAGAGACGGTCTAGTCATTTGGCAATTATGATACTGAATGTATATAATTTAATATGTTTTATACTACACACTAATAAAGCAAAACATGCAAATGCTAGACTTTGTGACACTGCATTTGGGCACAGCAGTGGTTTGAGCTAAATGCTAACATCAGCATGCTAACATGCGCAGAGAGATAATGGTACAAAACGCAGGTTTAAGGTTTCACCACCTCATTTCAGCGTGGTAGCATGCTAACATTTACTAATTAGCACTAAATAAACTGATAGCAATGTCATTAGTTTAGGTTAGCAGGTATTTGGTTATAAAGTATTGGGCTGATTAAAATTTGAGGCAATTCACTCAAATCCACAAACTCATAGTGGTTTTAGAGATACTGATATTACCATCCCTAAAAAAAAAATGCACTTACAGAAAGTGGATGCATCCATTATATTATATTTAGTAACTATACTCCGTGTCTCTTTTGTCAGAATGGACACAACTGCAGGATTCGTCTGCAGAAAGAGGGACCAAGCCACGAGGAGGTGCAATGATTATCGTGTTCGTTTCAGCTGCCATCCCCCTTTCTGTGGCGGAGGAGGTACTGTGTGAGCACATGCAGTTTTAAGCTGCTGATGCAAAGTGGATTTCCCTCTTCTCTTTTATTGTCCGTGTGCATAAGCATTCATCTAGAATGGGGCTTTTGAGATTTGCAGTTTACTAAGAGTAATGCTGTCTGTCTTTTATTGCTTCCCGCAGTGTGCTGGACCAAGTGGTATGACCGCGACAACCCCAGTGGAACCGGGGACTGGGAGCTTTTGACTGACCTGAGGAATGAAAACCCAGATGAAATCTGTGAAAACCCTCTTTTCATCGAAGCTGTCACCACTGACACAATGACCCCAGCCCTCGACACAGGGGAGACCTTCTCTATGTAAGTTGCATTATAGGGGAAGAACATAAAAGTTTACATGCAGTAGTTTACCTAACCAATCAATCACTACTTCTCAACATTAACACTTCTTTTCCAAAGTTTCCAAGTCATCAAGATAAACTGCCTGGAGCTACTGCTTAAACAGAGAATGGGAACTTTGTAGATGCACATTTACATTAGATAAGATGAAATTTTAATGAGCCCCATGAGGAAACTGGGTAATAGGCACATAATGTCTGAAACTTTTAAACCTAGCTGTGCCTTACTTTATTCTTGTGCTAACTGCTTTCACTGAGAAAATATGGTCTGTGTGTTCTGTGGAGGAAGAAACGAATGAATGTATCAGCGTATTGCTATTTCTTATTTGTGATTTGATTATTAGATTTGAGATATTTCACATTTAAAAAAGAACTGACCCCTCACATTAAGAGCAAAATAAGAATAGATAAGTGTAGATTTCATCTTTATTTAACCTAGCAGCAGTACCTTTACAAACCAGATAATGATTTTAAAATTATTTTTGAATAAAATAATGAAGGGTTATGGCAATGAGCCCCATTTTAAAACAAGAAAAAAAAAATCAGTTTGAATTTTTTTCTAATTTATTAACTACTTGGGAATCATTTTTCAGCTTCAATCCAACTGAAGGATTTGTGTGCCGCAAAAAGGACCAGGGAGATAACACCTGCCGTGACTACAAAGTTCGGTTTGGATGCCCATGCAGTGATAAAAGTCAAGAAGAATGCTGAGAGGGATGGGGAGAGAAGACGTTCCAATTCTTATCACTTTCATTTTTTTCTGATGTTTCTTTTCTTCTATTCTTCTGTTACTGTTCCTGATTGAAGAAATATGTAGAACTAGGTCTGTTTTTGTTTTTTTTAACAGCAGACATTTTTACTTGTCATAGTTGGAAAAGCACCCGTGTTACTAATAGCGTTAACGACGGCTCTGATCCATTCAAGTCGCCCAATGTGATGGTGAGCCAGCATGAATGACACCAGGACCCTGAAACTAAATCAGCTACATGGAGTTCAACGTCAAATTATCAAATTATCTTTGGTGGAAAAAGGGCCTATTAGGTGGTTTATCAGTTGATCTTTTCTTTATAGTTATTATGAAATCATTATCTTGTATGACGACTGTAGAAAACAAATCACCAGCATTAAAAATACTGATAAACAGCAAATCTCTTTTCTCATTAAGTTTCCACTCTACAGAGCTTATTAGGACGGCACTAATGGGCTCACAGGCTTACATGAAGTTGTGATTTGGTGTGAGTAATGCAGACATATGTCTTCTCAACAGATGGTGGGAAATGATACGATATACAGACAGTAGGAGGTGCTGGATAGCACTGCTGTTCAACAGCAATGCGGGAAATGTGGAAAAGTCAGTGAATCTAAATTTTTGTACCAAAAAAAAAAAAACAAAACATGCATGGCAATGCTAACAAGCACAGGTGCAATTGCATGTGTTTTGTCTCTTCCTTCTCAACTAACATTCTTCCTTTTTGTAGCAGTGATAGCTTTCAGCGCAGGTCTGGTGTCCTTACAACCTCACTCACTTCTCTCTGACCTAAATCACGCCTCTGCCATGTTTCCCTCAAAGTCAAACGCTCCTGATGTGAGCCTGCACCCACACAATCTCCTGCAAACCCTCGAACATACACACACATGCAGAAACACATTGCCACACACGTACACACACACACACACACACACACACACACACACACACACACACACACACACACGCACACACACACAGGGAGGGGAGCGGGGAGATACAAGGTGATTCCTGCTGCACCTCAACACCATCAACGTTTCCTCAGGAGATGAACACTTGTGATAGGTGCTGGAAAGAAACTGCAGTGCATTGCCCAGAATGTAAAATGAGGGACGAAAGCTTTTCTTCTCTCTTTTATGGGAAAACCTTGTGCTCTTTGGATGATTTGGTAATGCTGGCAATGCATCATTTCTCTGCCCTTATATATATATAAGGGCAGAGAAATGATATACTTTGCTGCTATTTAGCTTCGAATATGCATGTCTGTCTTCCAGTAAGACTGTGTTGAAGTAGGCAAAATATGAAGAGACAGAGACGAGGAGGAGGAGGGAGGGAGGGAGTAAACTGGATGCAATCTGCTAAACTTTCCCTCTTCACTTTTTTATTATTTTTTTTTCATGATAAAACTGAAGAGGAAAAATTCTGCCAGTGGTGGTGAAGTAAAATGAAATCTGCACCACTGAAGTACAACAGAAGTGTTGAAGCTTCAGAGCATTATGGCGTTCCATTCTCTTCCATTAATCTCCCAATATTCCATGGCTGTGAAGGCCTATTTATAGACCAGGGGATGATTAAGTGGTGAGGCACTGTGCCACAAAGGGAACCAAGCTCATTTTCTTCTTCCCATCCTCTCTCTTCTTTACTCATGCTTTACCTACTTCTCTTTCTCTCTTTCTTTCCCTCCCTCGGCGTCTTTATTTTCTTTCTCACCGTCTTCTCGCTCTCTCTCTATTTCCTTCTCTCTCTTTTTCATAAGCATATACATTATATTATATACCCAGCCTTCCCTTGCATAGTTTAGTTGTCAGTGGAATTATGTTAGACTCAAGGGGGTAAGGATAAGTCCCTCAATTTCATTTTTTTTCTATTAAGCATTTGACAAAAGGGTTTATGGAAGTGCTAATTGTTAAGAGGCTACACAGGGAAGAGTGACAGGCTTAATAAGGGAGGATGAAGCCCCATCGAGCATGTTTTCATCACTAAATCAAGTTGGATCAAGATTGAGGGGTGTCCATTAGCTGTAAATAGAGGAGGAAAACATGCACAGAGATCCAACTTATACCTGCTATCGCAAGGTGTCCTTGAGTGGAAGTAGAGCACTGCACAAGAAGAAGGGTTAAGCTCATTTTCGTGTGTACAGACATGATTAATGGTGCAGAGGAGAGGAGAGGAGAGGAGAGGAGAGGACTGACCTCGCTCAAGCTCGAGACCGTCCTCATTTCATCACCCACAGAACAGAGAGGGCATAAATGAGATCAAACTCTTCTTAATGTCTCCTCGCTGACGCTCTATCTGCTGGTCCACGTCCATATTTTTCCCTGGGTTTTGACGGAGGCTTAGGTGGCAGCATTTTTCCTGCAGGGTGGATTTTGTGCAGGGCTCACTTTCGATGCCGAGCACCTCTGTAACAAGTATTTGTCTATTAAAACCACCCAGAGGATTTGTGCAAGGAGGAGAAACAACAGCGAGTAATCTAAGACTTGAGACTTGAATATGTTGAAATGACCATTTTGTCAGTGGGAGAAGCAGAAGGGTGTCTGCATGTAGATTTGTGAGCAAGATGTTCAGAATGCAGCAGTTCATCTGTTATACAGTGAATTCTGTTGTGTGCATAAGCCAAAAGAGATGAATGTCTTTCTGTCACTAACATTAATAGTTAGGGGATGAAAGTTGTTACATTTGTTGCAATTGAACACATCTTGTATGTCCTTAAATCTATCACAGTTTTACGCAGCCACATAACAACTGGAGCTTGTATTTAAAGACAAATTCGTCACACTTTTTAGCTTTGCTGTTTATCTGTCCAATATATTTTGGTGCTACTGCAGTCTTGGCAAACCATGAAAGCACTTGAGCTGTAGAAGGCACAGTCCATGTACCTTGAGTTATTTTTAATAAATCCCCAACCAGGCAATTTGATAATTCTCAAATCCATGCGTCAAATGCCATTTAATCTAAAGACACAAATTTATCACATTTATGATGGTATAAATTTGATTCATGCTGAATTACGTGTAAATGAATAGCTCAGCCTCCATCACTACAGTGTCTGGGTAGTGAAACACCAACTTTAAATCCCCCTTACCAAAGCAATATGAGCCTGAAAAGCTATTAGAGCATGACTCCTGAGAGATGAACAAGACAAAAGCGTTATGCCTGTACCTTTCCGGAAGGTGAGAACAATACCAGGCTATTTTCACTCTGAAAAGCCATATTAGTCGTGCCAGCTTTTGCCTGCCGGCAACTCCTGTGTGATAGCTGTCTGGGACATTTTGTTTCCAGTCACAGTAGCTGATCCCTTGATTGAAAACATTGAATGCTGAGAGGTTGTTATCCCTGTTTGGAGTTTCTGATCCTGGATGTCTGAGGCGACTGCTGGGCCCTCTCATCCCCAGCTGCAACAGTTGATCCCTGGATCTTCGTGGAAAGAGAGTGGATTGCATTACTGAGATGGAAGCCTAAAAATGTCAGGGATGTTTGCCTGCTACAACCCGTCACTGAGAGGAAAAAAAAATCAGGTGTGTAACTGCATGTGAAGCAGATATTATAATGAAAAAGTTGAGGCATTCCTTCCAAATCTTCCCTTTGTCTTTGGGAGTGTGAACCCAAGTCCTTGTAAAGGTATTAAACACCTGAAAAGATGTCTTTTCCTGCTATTACTCATAGGCCTAGTTTTATATTGCATAGTGTCATATGATGGTGGCCTTCACATTTACAGGTGGTTTTCTGTGTCTCTTTTGTCAGTGGTTTGAAAAATGGTGAGAATTAGACCAAATACTGAGGAGTTATTGCTATAGGCACCCATTCACAAAGCCCCAGATGTAAACAAATCACCCATGTGTGTCCATTCTTTGTTTACACTTCCATGTCTCTCTCTGAAAGGCCCTCCTCCTACTCTTGTTCGCCGACACCAAAGATGGAGATGTCTTTGCAGAGAACAAAGTTTATTGGCAGCTATCCTGTAACAGTTTGTGAAGCCTTGTGAGCTCCTCTCTTGTTTTCCAGTCTCCTTCTCTGCAGGCGAGTTCTTGACACCAACTATTCCAATGGGGAAAGTCACTTTTAGCAAGCACTGCCAAGATCTCTATTTGAGGGCCAAAATATGTAGGCAGACTGATGCATCTGTCCACATTCTGTCTATTCCTTTCTTTCAGACTTTCTCTGCGGCTTTCTCAGTCTCTCTCTGTCTCTATCTCTCTCTCTCACACACACACACACATACACACACACACACACACAGGGGGCTGTTTCTTCATCATTCACACTGAGAAATGCCCTGTAAGGATGTCCTTATCCTGCAAACCAGACTCTGCTGGATGCTCTGTAATAACAACTCCAGCCGTCCACCATCCAATCAGCCTAGCTCTCTGCTGTGTATGTATGTGCGTGTTTGTGTGTGTGTGTGTGTGTGTGTGTGTGTGTGTGTGTGTGTTTGTGTGTGTGTGCGTGTGTGTGTTTGTTTGTGCGTGTGTGTTTGTGTGGGTCGGTGTTTGTGAATATGTATGATTTGATCTGAAACCACAAAGCACAGAAGGCATTTATTTTCCTGACAAGAACAAAGAAATAAACAACTCATACAAAATAAATAAAGGAGAAAAAAAAAAAAACATTTATTTATTTATTTATAGTCACTTGTGTCTGATTGCATTTAGAGGTTATTCTTAGAAAATCTCAGCATTGTATGTTTCTCTCATACATAATGCCATTGATGCTGAGAAAATAAAGATTTAAAAAATAAAATAAAAAAATTTAATTATTGACTGCTTGAAACAGAGTGAGATGGACAGAAGCGGGATTACACTGCAGGAGAAGTTTGAGAAGTTTGAGAAGTTTCTATGGACATTTAGACATTTTTACACCAGAAAACTGGGTCAGATTTGCCACCCTTTAGAACATTTGAGAATCCAAGCTGACTACAGTATAGGGATTTCCTTTGCAGTAGCAGTTCAAACATGGCAGAGAT